TGTCATCGCTTCTGAAATCCAGTCCTTCATCTTCATCTTTAGTGACAGACATTTCTATTTAAAAGTTCTCTCACATGTTCAAAATGAAATGTCTATAACTCATCTTCTTATAATTGCCCCTACAAGCTTTTGCTTTAGCTGGTCTTATATCTGTCAATAGTACCATCTGGCAGACTAACTGAAGCTGAGGAATGTTACCTTTAATGTTCTTCTTTCCATCATGGCACAAATATGGTCAGGCGTCAAGTCCTATTGATTCTTATTCACATTACTCCCATCTCTTCTATCCCTTAATTCCATTATTACAGTTCTATTTTAGGCCTTTACTCCATTGCAGAATTGGGTCTGATGTCTGGTAGGTACTCAATAAATTTGAGTTGAATAAATTAATAATACTTCTTACTTCCATAATTTCTTTACGTAAATGCATTCTACACATCATCAATGCAATTTTATGCATAAATTATAACTCAAAAGTTATCTCATAACTTTGTTATATAAAGAATATATTTTCGAAATCCCAGTGTCAGACAAAGACCTCCACACCCTGCCAAACTCTACCTTCCAATTCTGTCTCTTCCCTACTACATTCTACATGCCATCTGATTGAAGCCAAGCATATGTGTTAAATATTCTGTATACATGGATCTTATATTATCCCCTCAAAATCCTAGTTGATCCTCTTCTACTAAACATACATTACCCAAGTTTAGGTAAGTCTTAACGGCTATGCATTAAAGGTTAAAATGTAAATCAATATTGATAATCATCAAATTTCTTAGAATCTAGACATATAACTAGATAATTTTAACAACAGATGTAGGCACTAGATGCTTTACAAGCACCAAAAAAGAGACTCCCTGGCCAGGCGTGGTGGCTCACACCCGTAATCCCAGCACTTTGGGAGGCCAAGGTGGGAGGATCACCTTAGGTCAGGAGTTCAAGACCAGCGTGGCCAACATGGTGAAACCTTGTCTCTACTAAAAATACAAAAATTAGCCGGGCGTGGTGGCAGGCACCTATAATCCTAGCTACTCATGAGGCTGAGGCAGGAGAATGGCTTGAACCTGGGAGGCAGATGTTGCAGTGAGCCAAGATCACGTCATTGCACTCTGGCCTGGATGCCAAGAGCAAAACTCCGTCTCCAAAGAGAGAGAGAGAGATCCCCTAAGTAGCCTGCAATCAAGAAAGATTTCCTGAAAGCAGTGATGATGTATCAAATCTTTAAAAATTTGTAAGAATTGCAGAGGTGATCTAGGTACAAATATTTTGGGTGGGGAGAAGCAAATTGGGATTCTAATTTCAGGAAAAGGGAAAAGCAGAAAACAAAAACAAAAAAGAACAAAAGCCAATGGTACAGAACGGCAATGTGAGATTACAACTACAATCAGGTGGGATTCTGGGACTTATGGTATAAGGCAGGAGGTAGAGTGGGGAGTGGAACTAGAGAAACAAGCAGCAGCTCAGAGAGGGCCTATATCTTTCCTGTCTTCTTTCTTGGATAAATCAAGTCCTGCTAAATTATACTGTTATGGGATCTTTGGGGTGTGCTTTTCCAGCCAGAAACCCCCGTGGCCAGTGGCACTTTTGGCCAAGTGTTGTGCTGGCCCGCTGGGCTCATTCTGCCCACTGAGCCTGGTAGGTTACTCATGCTGCTGGCCTAGATCCCATGCCTGCCAAGGGAGATTGCATGGAGCAGCAAGGAGTGTGTGAGCAAGTGTGGGGTCCAGTCACTGTGCAGTCAGACAGACATGCCGGCTGCTGTAGTGGGGTGGGCAGCTCTAGATGCCAGCATAGGCACCAGCTCTCCACAAGGCTGTGGCTGGACCAGGTGCACCACAAGCAGATTCCACAGCTGGCACCAGAGAACATGGGTGGTGCCCTCAAACTTGGAGGTGCCAGGAATCACAAGGCCTCAAAGAAGGAGTCACAGGCCAGGCACAGTGGCTCACGCCTGTAATCCCAGCACTTCTGGAGGCCAAGGCAGGTGGATCATGAGGTCAGGAGTTCGAGACCAGTCTGACCAACATGGTAAAACCCTGCCTCTACTAAAAATACAAAAAGTAGCCAGGCATAGTGGTACATGCCTGTAATCCCAGCTACTCAGGAGGCAGAGGCAGGAGAATTGCTTGAACCTGGAAGGCAGAGGTTGCAGTGAGCTGAGATTGCACTACTGCACTCCAGTCTGGGCAACAGAGCAAGACTGTGTGTCAAAAACAAACAAAACAAACAAAAAAGGAGTCACAGCCCTGGTTTAGGAAGCTCCCAGATCTGGGCTCCCTGAATGGCCACAACTCTTCTCTCCTTCTATTCACCACAACACGGTGAGCAAGGGACATGTCTTATCCCAGTTTACGTTATAGCTCTTTTAGCCTCATTTGGTGGGTCCTAAGTTCCTGTCCTGTGCCTTGGAAGAATGAGGTATGCAGACAGGCAGAGGGTGAGCAATACAAGGAGGAGCTTTATTGAGTGACAGAACAGCTCAGAGTAGACACACAGTGGGCAGCTCCTTTCTGCAGCCTGGGTTTCCTGATGAGTGTCCAGCTTCTAGCAGAGAGGTTAGTTCCTCTCTGTGAGGCAAGTCATCCCTACAGGTATTCATCTATTGGCAGAGAGGGTAGCTCCTCTCTGTAGGCAGGTCATACTGTCATCACCCATTGTCTCTGTCATCTCTGCAGCTCTCAGCAGAGAGGAGGCCTTAGAGTGGGTTGCTCCTGTCTGTACCTGTTACCCCTGGAATTTTGCTTTGGCTGAGCCCCGGGCTTCTATGGGTCTCAGAGGGGAGGAAGTGCACTCCTACTGGGCCATGGGCAGCCATGGGTAGTCTGGAAAAGGCACCACCAGTTCTCACTCTGGTGGGGCAGCCCAGCCCCCAGTTTTCAGGCTCTCCCTGGCTTGAATGAGGGATCTCACCAGGGACCTTCCTTCTTTCGCCCAGGAACCTGTCTGCCTCCTGTTGCCGCTCATGGCTCCCCGGCTATAAATGTGAAGGGGGGCCCTCAGTGCTCCCTCGGCTTCCCTCCTATGCTTGTTGGTGCTCAAAGTCTGGAGAGGGGCAAGGCATCAAGGGGCTGGTGTATCAGCCCTGCCCCAAGTGTGTGCACACCTGGACAGGACTGCAATAGCACTAGGGCTCATCCCTACTTTGCTCCTAAATTGGAGTGGACATTGACAGCAGGGAGAAGCCAGGCAGCAGGAGCAGGCACTCTCAAGCCTGTGAGGGAAAGGGGACCTTCCCGTGCCCCCAGGAGTGAAGAGATACCTGGGTCTGCATCCATGGTTTCGGTGGCTGCACTTGCATGGGGGACGTGGGAGGCCGTGATCTGCAGTCATGACTTGGGTGGCTGCAGCCCCATCCTCTTGGGTGAGACTTCTGTCTGCTCCATGGAGCAGGTGGCCCAGATCTACAGCCTGGGTTTGGGTGAATGCAGCTGCACCCAGGAGCACATGTTCCTGGGTCCCACGAGCACAGGGATGCCTGGGTCTGCAGTAGTGGCTTGCAGTGACACCTGGGGAGCCCCTGCCCCAACTCAGAAGGGGCAGGTCTCCCCCTGGTACCTGGCTCCCGCCCCAGCCACACCTTCCTGCTGCAGCGGGCCTGAAGGTAGTGGCCACTCCAGATGGTTCCCCACTGCTGACAATACTGGAAGGTAAGAAAAGACCAAGTCTTTTCAAAAGACTAGGGAATATATACTTGGGCCTAATCACTAGAGATATAATTGAAAGGTAATGCTAGTGTTTACCTAGATTTGAATTTAGAGGATTAAGTTTCAATCTCTTCCATGCCTTGTATTGCCTGTGTGAACTGGAGAAAGTCTTTGGCGTCTCTGAGTCTCTACATCTGCAAAAGGGGAATCACTGTAGTCTTGCTTACCTTACACAAATAGTTTTTTTTTAATGTGATGAAAAGCAAACCACATAAATCTTAACCATGCTAGCTATTTTTTGTAGTATACAAATAGATTTTTTAAAAAATATGTGATGTTGATTGTATCAGCAGAGGGAAAAGAAATCATAGTGAAAATGAGTAAAAGTGGAGAGGAAAGGAATGTTTACTGATTGAGTTTTCCAGAGAATCATGATCCTGCCTGAAGTTTATTCTGACTCCCACAGCTATGCCCAGTCCCCAGCTTTATACTCTACTCCTATAGGAGAGAAAAGGTTTTATAGTCCCAGGACAACTTATGAAACCTGACCCTGGGGAATGTCTACTAGGTAACATTTTTCTCCTAATTTGTCCCTTAGAGGAGAGAGAAAGATACATGATTTTCCTTTAGACATTTCATTATACAAAGAGAAATTCCCAGGAAAGACCATCTTTCCATTCTAGATATTCCTGGAAGAGGCCTCAGAGACATTTATACCCTTACTGACAAGCTAGGAGAAGAGGCAGGTGGCTGCAGAGATTTTGAGGCGCATTCTCATGGTGTCAGGCAGGGTAAGTACTAAAGACTGAATTGAAAGCGATTCTCTTGCCTTAACCTCCCAAGTAGATGGGATTACAGGTGCCTGCCACCACGCCTGGCTAATTTTTTTAAAATTATTTTTAGTAAAGACAGAGTTTCACCATGTTGGTCAGGCTGGTCTAAAACTCCTGACCTCAGGTGATACACCTGCCTTGGTCTCCCAAAGTGCTGGGATTACACGTGTGAGCCACTGTGCCCAGCAAAGTTGAATTCTTTAACTAGGCTCAGGTTAGATATCAGTGCCGGGGAAGATGGTGAAGCGACATAAACATTGCTGGAAAAAGAGCTCCAACAATATATGTTTAAATTAATAACTTTTCTGAAAAACAAAAGTAAAAAATAGTTTTAAATGAAGGTACAAGTTTTAAGGCTAAACACAGAGGGACGGAACCAGAAATTAAAAAGTGACCAAACCTACAGAAAATATTTCCAGAGAATGAAATTTGTGTGTTGCTTTGCTTTGTGCACATCAATGGAAGATAATTACCAGAAAGAAAAAGGGATTTAGGGGTCCAACAGTAAATATTTCAGATGATTTTGGCGTGGAGGTAAAGCTTAAGAGATTATTTCTAACTGGTCTCTTCGGGAAGATTCTAGAATCAGCTTGAGTAAATCATTACAGAAAATTCAGTGGGTGATCAACATTCCAATTCTGGGAGTCTTTTATTTCCTTTTCTCTGTTCACAGATGACACAGTTGATGACCAGTGGGAATCAGACAATGGTGACAGAGTTCCTCTTCTCTCTGTTCCCGCATCCGCACAGAGGCGGCCTCTCATTCTTTATTCCCTTGCTTCTCATCTACGGATTTATCCTAACTGGAAACTTAATGATGTTCATTGTCATCCAGGTGGACATGGCCCTGCACACCCCTATGTATTTCTTTATCAGTGTCCTGTCCTTCCTGGAGATCTGTTATACCACAACCACCATCCCTAAGATGCTCTCCTGCCTAGTCAGTGAGCAGAAGAGCATCTCTGTGGCTGGATGCCTCATGCAGATGTACTTTTTCCACTCACTTGGTATCACAGAAGGCTGTGTCCTGACAGCAATGGCCATTGACAGGTACATAGCTATCTGCAATCCTCTCCATTACCCAACCATCATGACTCCCAAACTTTGTATCCAGCTGACCATTGGATCCTGCTTTTGTGGCTTCCTCCTTGTGCTCCCTGAGATTGTGTGGATTGCCACCTTGCCTTTCTGTGGCTCCAACCAGATCCACCAGATATTCTGTGATTTCACACCTGTGCTGAGCTTGGCCTGCACAGATACATCCCTAGTGATCATTGTGGATGCCATCCACGCAGTGGAAATCCTAGCCTCCTTCGTGGTCATTGCTCTATCCTACATTCGAATTATTATGGTGATTCTGGGAATGCGCTCGGCTGAAGGTCGTCACAAGGCCTTTTCCACCTGTGCGGCTCACCTTGCTGTGTTCTTGCTATTTTTTGGCAGTGTGGCTGTCATGTATTTGAGATTCTCGGCCACCTACTCAGTGTTTTGGGACACAGCAATTGCTGTCACTTTTGTTATCCTTGCCCCCTTTTTCAATCCCATCATCTATAGCCTGAGAAACAAGGACATGAAAGATGCTATTGGAAGGCTTCTCCACTATCAGAAGAGGGCTGGTTGGACTGGGAAATAGGTATAGATCCTGGAGATTCTGGAAAGCCTCTTGGAAGAGCAAAACGTCAATGTTACTTACCTTTTCCATGTGTATCCCCTTTTCCTATTGCTGCAGCTATTTGTTCTATTATTTTTAAAAAGACTGATAAACTGCTGTATGCAGGCTGTGGATGAGAAGTGGACAGCCAGTTTACATGAATGCCTCTATCATGCTGGTGATAGCTGAAGCAGTAGGGATGGACCCTCTTGCTCTTAACACAGGTCGGCTTCCTCCTTGCACTCTAGCAACTAGGTTCCTGCTTGTCTCTTCACTGATCTGACATGCTAGTGGGACCAGGAAGCAGAATAGAGGAGGCAAGACAGACATGCAGACATGGAAGTTCTGAAAGTTGCTGCTGCTAACTTCTCCAATTCCCTTTCTAGAAATGCATCCCCTGTCATTCAGTATTCCATACAAGTAAATCGTTTCTTGATATTAGATAGAGGTCTTCTCTGCTTTTAGCTCATTTAATTCCCAAACTCATTTCAGCAAACATGAACTACTTATATACACGACGTATTACAGAATTTTAGATCCAAAGGGGTTCCACCAAAATTAATAACAATAACAGCCTACTATATGTTTCGAGCACATTACTATTTGAAATATTTTTACAGATATAAAACCTCTTGAAATTTAAAATACTCTGAAGTAAATAGGTCAGGGATTGCCATTATTTAAATGTTGAAACCAAAACTCAAAGAAGTTTAATGACTTGACTAAAGTCACATAGGTAGTGACAGAGCTGAGATTTAACCTTAGGTACTCTATTGTAGTCTCTGTCCCCAATAAATATTTAATTTTGTGTAATTTACTTGATGTTCAACTATGCAAACTTTTCCCCCAAAGTTTAATGAAACCTTACCAGTTTTCAATGAGTCCCAGGAGACAATGGTTCTTTCCTCAGTGAATTCCCTAGTCTTCCTGTGATTATGGCATCATGGAAAGACTATTGGAAAAGGAGATTTAAGGACTATATTTTATATCTTTTTCTGACACTAAGTTGTGCCATTTTGGGTGATGTACTTAATTTGCTGGCCTTCAGCCTCATCTATAATTATGTAGTTAGATTAGATCAGTGATTGCTAAAACTGATTATGAACATTTGTAGTTCACAAAATCTAAAAGTGAAGCCTGGACATTTGCATTTCTGAAAATCTCCAGAAAATTCAGATGATGGGTAAGATTTGGGAACAGCTGGATTGGATGATGACTAAGATAATTCTAGTCCTGGGGCTATTTAACATTCATAAAAGCTAACTTTTTTTTTTATACTTTAAGTTCTGGGGTACATGTGCAGATCTTGCAGGATTGTTACATAGGTATATATATGCCATGGTGGTTTGCTGCCTCCATTTCCCCCATCCCCTACATTAGGTATTTCTCCCAGTGTTATCCCTCCCCAATCTCCCCACCCTCCACTATATCTCCCTTAGCCCTCCGCTCCCCAACAGATCCCAGCGTGTTCCCTTCCTTGTGTCCTTGTGTTCTCATTGTTCAACACCCACCGATAAGTGAAAACGTGGTGTTTTTCCTAACATGTATTATTTCATTTATTATCAATACTATTTAATACATATTAACTTCTTTTTACGTGAGAAACATGATACACAGAGTTGCAACAAGAAGTCCAAGTACACAGACATAATTACTATGAGTCCAGGGCAGAAATTCATTATGTCTGGTCCCAGAGCCATGTCTTGATTGACCATGATCTCATACCTAGTTCACAGGCTTTCTTCCTAATCACTAAACTTAAGAAAAGTTCTAAAGGAAATATGGAATTCAATAAGTAAATGTAATCACAAATTATCATACATTGAGTGGTGAAAGGATTTATTCCTCCAGTCATTAAGATTTATTTGTTAAAAGTTTAAGTAGTAACTCTATGTCAGGTACCCTGTTAGGTATAGAGGATTCACTCTGTGGCTATCATATGAATAGTCTTGACTTTGGAGACCTTAGAATCTGATAGCAGCTATTAATGAGAATGTCATTTCCCATCAAGTTTACTGTTTTTCTTGTCATGAGATGGGATAATCCCTATGGACTCATTTTTCCCAGACCTAGGCCATTTTATTTTCTCTAAACCTTCTGAAGTTTTTCGTGTGCATTTGAAACCTCTTCAGATGTGTACCCTTGTATATTCTTTTCTCTTTCTAACTCCTGCACATTGATTCTTTTCACAAAGATATTCTTAACCTTTACGGCTGAACCTCAGAAATAATTATTTTTAATACTGTTGTCCCAAGCTTCTCAACCTTGTTCCAAATTACTGCGGTCTTCAAGAAAGATCCCTCGCGCTAATATCTCTGGCACAGATTTTAGGACCAATGTTGGCCCTTATTTTCATGATTTTTTTTCTTTTTGTTTTTCTTGCTATTCATATCATTTTGTTTGTCCCACATCTCTCATTAGACTAAGCAGGAGTCCACAGATGGCAGAAATGTTTTCTCATTCTTCTGATTGCCAGAAAACAGAATGTAATTCTGCAGATTATCTGTCAACTATCCAAGCTTTGTTCTTGGCTATTGGACCAACGGATTGACTTGTGGGGCTGGCCGAGAGAATCAGTGGTTCAAGCCCTGTGGGAACAAAGGAGACAGAATGAGAAGGGGCAGACTTTGATGTCAATGAGGACTTTTTTTTTTTTTTTTTTTTTTTTTTTTAAATTCTCAGGTCTGTCCAAGGGCTAGCTCATGTGTGCTCACCAATATAGCTTTCATGTAGCAGGAAAGGTTGCCCTCCAGTCCTTTCCTGACTCTATACCCTTGGGGATGGATATTTGCTGCTGGAACCCCTGAATCCAGTGAAATCTTGTGAAAAATCCTCACTCCTGCCACCACTGCAAATGGCCCTGTGATCCCTGGATCCTTCTGAAGAAATTCTGCCAAGCGGTGCTGGACAGCTCCTGGCTGAATTTTTTGCAATACACATCAGGGTTGCGCCCTGTGATTACTAAACTGCTCCAAAGAGTAAATTCTCCTGCCTTTGAACCACATTTTGTTAGTTTCTTTCCTTTTGTTCCTTATCTTTCACCTTTCTCAGCAGATATTTTGTAGCTAAAACAATTCTTTTACCCCTTGGACAGCATGGAAAGTCAAGTACTCTTTTCATCTCACTTCTATCCTGACTTAAAAACCGAGCTTCCCATAGGTGTGTTGACCTCCTGAAAGGGGAGTGTGGCAGCAAGTGTTTTCCTAACTAGACATAAGGGGCATAAAGTTGCTTTTCCCTAATTCCCCAGGAGAGAACTCCCACTTAGCTATTACCTGTGAAGCCTAGACTTGTGACTGTGGTTACAACCTTCCTCCTTATTGGGCTGCAGAGCAATGAAGATGGAGACATTTGGAAAAGAGAAGGTGGCTCTGTTGGTTTCTGGAAGAGGTAGCTATGGACTGAGGGTTTGGACTTTCTATTTTGGGATATGAGTGAATGACTTTGTTTACTAGATATTGGGGGACAATTGTCACAGAACCATATTATTTTCTATCGGACTTAAAGGAAAGACTTGTGGAAATTTTGTTGCAATTGTGACAATACATGAAGTAGAGGAAAGGACCATAACTGAGGGATGGAGGGCTTTGGTGAGTGTGTTCCCTACAATTAGAGATAGTCATAACACCTGGACTAATTCTACCAAATTGTGCCCACTAGCTCTATGACTCTTCCACAATTCTGCTAATTTCTGAGTTAAATTAGAATCTAGGTTGTTTGTAATATTTTTAGTGGCATCAAGACAGACTCTTAAGAATAAAGAAATGTCAGAACAACTAGTGGAGCTTATAGTTGAGATTCTGGAATATCCACTCCTACAGAAAATGTGAGAGTCCTGTAAGGTATAACTTTGTTCCCAAGACTCTATCAAATTGCCTTCCTATAGGTATCTTTTTTCCTTCTTAAAGACCCAAGTTCCTATAGACCTACCTTTAAAAAAATTTTCTAGGTTTCGGTTTTCTAATTCCAAACTGTACCAGACATAGCGCTTAATGCCAGTTTGCCTGTTTATCTCCCTACTGCCTCTGTAAGCAGAACACAGAACAATTATATAGGTATCATTTTCTGTCATACTAGGAAAGACTGTTGAGGATAATACAATCATAAGATATTGGGTGACAAAATACTTTTAAAATCTCATATACAGCCATATTATCTGTTCTGCTTAAAGGTTCAGATTTGATTTGGAACCCTATAGAGAGCCAGTATGAGGTTTTCAGACAGAGGATTGACAGCTTTGTATTGAGGAAAGATTATTTCAGTGGCTATGTGAAGAGTGAGTTGAAGTAAGACAAGTCTTGAAACAATAAGAATAATTAAGATAAAAATTGCTAGAGTATAAATTAGTTTTTATGAACATCTATTTTTATGTAAAGTTTTTTAAAGAAAAACAAGGGGTTGTTCCCCTCATATTCTCCTGTTTCAACATAAACATACTATTTTGTTGTATGTATAAAAATCAAGGGGAAAAAATGTGGTTGCTATATGCCAAGCTGAGTTCTTATTTGTGTATAGACTCTGATACTGTGGTTTCAAAATAATGTTATCTGTTTATTGCATCCACTGGCAGTTCACGGTTCTCTGACTGTTTTGGTAGATCAGTAACTTTCTCCATGTAGAGGTCCCATGGCAGAATAAATTCTGCCATGTAAACATTTATTAGCAAACAGATGCGCGCGCGCGCGCACACACACACACACACACACACACACTACTACTATTAAGCCTTTTCTCAGAAGCTCATGGTAGTCTTAACTTTTTTTCTTATGCTTTCTGGTTAGTTTAATAATAAATATGATATATGTATTTCATTTTTAAGTATCTCAATTTGCTGACTTAATAAAGTCTCATCTGGTTTTTAAAACAAACTTTTCAATCTAAAAAGTAAATTATAAATAAGCAAATCTTAAATACTTTTAAATGTTTCAATACTATGATCAATGAAGTAAGATTTCAACTTAAAATAGCTTAGTATTTATGTAATTTTTATAGCTATTAAATTTAACCTGAATGAAGTTAAGTTTTCCAAGTGTAAGTTAATTTCTCAATTACAAATTTAAAATTATAATTTCAAAGTAGATCTGGTATTCTAATAGATAAATTATCTTAAATAATACAAACAAAAAATATTAAGTATATGTAAATTTACTAACAAAAACATGAATAATAGGTTTTGATCCTTTTAAATAATTTTATTCTTGGCTCTAAAGACCTGATGAGTTTTAAAGATGCTAACCCACTAAAGAAATAATTATATAACCCATTTTTTTTTCATTCATGCAACAAATATTTACTGAGGCTACTTGGCCAAGCACTGTTTTAGGTCGTTGGGGTACAACTGACAAAAAAATTCCCTGCTCTATGTAGCTTATGCTATAATGAGGAGAGGTATTTTAAAAATACATACTAAAAAAAAAAGCAAAAAAGTATAACAAATTATATGAAACTGTATTTGGTAGGAAATGTAAAAGAAAATAGGATAAGATGATCTGGTGTGGGTGGCAGGATAATAACTTTAAAATAGATTGGTAAAGTTGAACCTTATTTAGAGAGTCAAATTTGGAAAAGATTTGAAGAAAATGGAGTTAGCCATGAAGAGGGAGTATAAGAGTTAAAGAAGAGGAAAGGAACATGAAACATGGCTTAACAGTCAAAGACAGGTTTTCTTTAGATGAAACCTGAGAGGGGCTTCTGGCTGATTTTGGTCAGGAGCACTTTCTTTTACAGACTAAGAGTATATATTGGTTTTAGGGTGAAGGGCTTATTACAAGCTTGGAGTATTTCTGTGTGAGGGAGAAGTTTGATGGCAGGGTTGGAATGTCTCTGGGAGAAGGGGAGGTTATCTTGGGGCTGGAGGCAGTTTATGTAGAGGCTAGCATCTTCCCAGCCGAAACAGGGTTATCTTGGGGCTAGCATGTCTCTGGTCAGGGAGGAGACGGGAATATTTCTGGCTGGAGGTGTTATTTGTGGTTTATGGTCATGCTAACCTTAGCTATTAGGCTGATGCCCTTTGGATTTAGGTGTTTTTTATAATAAGGCAAACTTTAGAATGAGGGGCTTGTCCAAGATGGTGATAGGGAGAATAATTCAGGCAGCAGTAAAAGCTAGTGAAATAGCCCTGAAGTGGGTGAGCATGTCTGGCCTGTTTAAGGAATCAGGAGACTAATGTGGTGGAAATGGAGTCGGAGATACATCTGCAAAACTATATGATGAATTCAGGGAAAAAAAAAAGACATAGATTATGTAGGGAGAAGACCCCGTAAGTGCCAAGGCAGGAGCCAAAAGCCTCAGCCTATTTCCATATATATAATGAAGAAAGTAACTAGAAATATAACCGTAGTAGTTATTATTCATATGTGATCTTAGTTATTCACAGATGATCTTAATTCTTTTACTAATGCCTCTGAGGTCAGAAGTGTGAACCTGGGGTGACATTGTGAAATGAATGACACTCAAGAACAGTTGAGACCATCATGAAAGTGCTGGAGAAAGAAGCTCAAGAACAGTTAAGACCATCATGAAAGTGCTGGGGAAAGAAGCTTACAAATTTGGGAAGATGAATATAATTGGGAAAAGTATATATATTTATTGACAGCGTTGATCTGAAAATCTAACAACACAAGAGTAATAGGGGAAACATTCTGTTAATTAACCCCATGAGAGAAGGTGATCCCCTTCAGTGCAGTGCAGGAGAAGAATCCCCCACAGAGCCCCATTCCCCATCCTGTTATTCTCTAGGATGCTCTATGGAGAGACTATAAATCCCTTTTTGAAGAGGCTGAAGTAACATCAAGGATGCAGGGACTCAGACAGACTGAGGAGTCCCTGTGTTTTTTGGCAAAGGTGAGTGTAGATGACCAAGTCATGAAGAGAATGAATTCACTTGCTATGCATAATAATAATAATCTCATAACCTGAAGACTTGATTATTAAAGAATTTAGAACATCGAATAAGGGTGGAAGGCAAAGGCATTTATAGGAGGAGATCCTATTCAGTGTGGGCCTGGGCGTGGGTATATGTGAAACAGCATACCACATTTATGATGCCGTTTTCTGAGAGATCATCTAGTCAAGACTTGGTTGCGGCTCTCATTAGAACTGAATTGTTATACTTCCCTTTTCAAATAGTCCTCAGTTTTCTTAGTTCACATATTCACGGCTGTCTTGTGCATTTAATTATCATTGTACCAAATGGCTGAGTTGCAAGTTAATTTATTTAATACCTACCATCTCTAGATACTAACCCTGTTGTAGTCACTATGAGGGATAAAACACATTCATGTTCCTGAAGGAGAAACTCACAGACTAGAGAAGGTAAAGCAAGTAAGTTGATGATGGAGCCTGATGAATGCTTCAATACAGCATGATGGCACTCAGCACTTCCAAGTGTTCCCTATATTCCTGACACGAAGGTTGTAAAATACATTTATACCTATTGCTAGAGATAGTCAATCTAGAAGTAGGTCACAGCGTGTCTCTAGCGATTCAGCGCATAAATTTAAATTGTGACTTCGCCCTTCATTAGCTGAGAATTTCTAGACAAAGAACTTAACCTGTCTATGCCTAAGTTTTCTCATCTGTAAAATGGGGATAATAATTTCACCTCATTAGAGCGTTAAGAACATGAGGTGAAAAAATACATATAATGTGCTTGGAATCATCCCAGCATTAGTGAGGCAGTAATACCATATACTATACTATACAATTCTATTGTTATTATAAAATGTTTAGTCCTTCTCAAGACCTCATTAACTAATATTAATATGTTCTCAGTTTTAAAAATGAGATGTTAAAGTCAGAGAGAGACTGAGTAACTTCATAGTAAGTCACAGAGATGGCAAGCCATAAAGAGGATTTAAATGCTAGCAATTTTTTTTCTGGCATCTAGGCTTTTAACCAGCAGTATATATTGCTTTTGTGTGAGGAGAGGGGGCAGAGGAGGGAGAGGCATATTACTTTAAAGTCAGAGGAAGTGGCACAAACTGGAGGGAACTGTGATTTTAGAAAGCAACGTGAACAATGGGATTGCAGGGGAGAGAGGAGTGGGACAATGTCAGCAGGCGAAGCTACAGAGAATTAAGAGTCAGTTGGTGTCAAGCTTATAAAAGAGAGATTGGTTGGAGAAAAACATTTAGAAGTATTGATAGTTTTAATCCTATAAGTGATTGAGATCACTAAGAGAGCGTATAGAACTGTAAGGCTGGAGTGGATGATAGGAACCTGGGGAAAATAAACTCTTGGGAAAGAGTTTAAGAAAAACAACACAAATTAATATAAGACAGAAGAGGCAGAATAAGAAAGAACATACAAATGCAAATAAATAAAATAGGAGCAAAAGTCAAAGCTAGAACTGCCTTTGAAGCTGTCTGGGAGTCACGCCCCTTAAGAATGGAGTCATGGAAACAGAGGACCAAAGTCTCAAACAGTGTCAAGTGCCAGAGACGACTGGGTAGTTTCCATTAGCAATTAGCAGGGCATTGTTGAATAGTATCAGCTTAATGCTCAGGAGGAAGCGCACAGCAGTGTTAAAGAATGAGAAATGCGGTGAGATAATTGTATCACTCTTTCCAGAAGTTGCCTGTCAAACACTGTTCAAATCTGTCTGCAAGTATTTACTAAATCCTACAGCATCCTTGTTAGATAGGTACTATTTTTAATCCCGTTTTGCAAATGAGTACTTGAGACTCTGAGACGTTAAATAATCTTCCAAAAGACGTATAGGTAGTAATAGATTTAGGATTTCAATGTCAATTTCCGGTTTACGTTCTAACACCCTAGAAAAGAGATTTTCAAAGAGCATGTGCACGACGGCCCAGTCGGGTTGGGAAAGGGCATACTATAACTTCTATTATGTTTATTTATATTCATACTTTTTAATTTTACAATTTATTATATAAGATATATATATTTTGGGCCAGGAGCAGTGGCTCAAGCTTGTAATCCCAGCACTTTGGGAGGCCGAGGTGGGTGGATCACGAGGTCAAGAGATCGAGACCATCCAGGTCAACATGGTGAAACCCCGTCTCTAGTAAAAATACAAAAAATTAGCTGGGCATGGTGGCACGTGCCTGTAATCCCAGCTACTCAGGAGGCTGAGGCAGGAGAATTGCCTGAACCCAGGAGGCGGAGGTTGCGGTGAGCCGAGATCACGCCATTGCACTCCAGCCTGGGTAACAAGAGCAAAACTCCATCTCAAAAAAAAAAAAAAAGATATATATATATTTTGTATTATTATGCCATAATATAGTAAATGTGTATAACTTATAAATGCAGATACTTATATTAGAGATTAAGCTAAAAATAATTTTAGCTAGTTTTTTTTACTATTAAAACATTTGGAGACACCTATTTCTGCAGTTGTGCCTCTGGAGGAGTAAGTATGAAAAAAATCAAATATTGCACAATATGTACAGTAGTTTAAAGTCAGAAAAAAAATGGAACCTTCAAGTAGTTCTTTTTATTCCTCAAAGTTGATTACCTGTACATCTTACTTATTTTTTTCTCCACCTCCTCATGAGCTGGACTATGCCCTCTCCTTCATTCACCTTTACTAGAAATATGGAGAACAGAAATCAATCAACAGTGACTGAATTTATCTTCACTGGGTTCCCTCAGCTTCAGGATGGTAGTCTCCTGTACTTCTTTCCTTTACTTTTCATCTATACTTTTATTATCATTAGTAACTTACTAATTTTTTCTGCTGTAAGGCTGAACACCCATCTCCACAACCCCATGTATAATTTTATTAGTATATTTTCCTTTCTGGAGATCTGGTACAGCACAGCCACCATTCCCAAGATGCTCTCCAACCTCATCAGTGAAAAGAAGGCCATCTCCATGACTAGCTGCCTCTTGCAGATGTATTTCTTCCACTCACTTGGAAATTCAGAGGGCATCTTACTGACCACCATGGCCATTGACAGATACGTTGCCATCTGCAGCCCTCTTCGCTATCATATGATCATGACCCCCTGGCTCTGTGCTCAGCTCTCTGCAGGTTCCTGTATCTTTGGTTTCCTTATCCTGCTTCCCGAGATTGTGATAATTTCCACACTGCCTTTCTGTGGGCCCAACCAAATCCATCAGATCTTCTGTGACTTGGTCCCCGTGCTGAGCCTGGCCTGTACAGACACGTCCATGATTCTGATTGAGGATGTGATCCATGCTGTGACCATCATCATTACCGGTCTAATCATTGCCCTGTCCTATATAAGAATTATCACTGTGATACTGAGGATTCCATCTGCTGAAGGGAGGGGAAAGGCTTTTTCTAGCTGTGCAGGCCACCTCATGGTCTTCCTGATATTCTTTGGCAGTGTATCACTCATGTACTTGCGTTTCAGTGACACTTATCCGCCGGTTTTGGACACAGCCATTGCACTGATGTTTACTGTACTTACTCCATTCTTCAATCCCATCATTTATAGCCTGAGAAACAAGGACATGAAGAATGCAATTAAAAAACTGCTCTGTCTTCAAAAAGTGTTGACCAAGTCTGGCAAGTCTGGAGGTTAATTCAGGTTCCCTTCCATTTTTTTTTTTTTCTTCTTCTTTTTTTTTAAGATGGAGTTTCACTCTTATTGACCAGGCTGGCGTGCAATGGCACAATCTTGGCTCATGATTTCGGCTCACTGCAACTCCTCCATCTCCCGGATTCAAACAATTCTCCTGCCTCAGCCTCCCTAGTAGCTGGGGGGCATGCACCCCCATGCCCAGCTAATTTTTGTATTATTAGTAGAGATGGAGTGTCACCATGTTGGTCAGGTTGGTCTCAAATTCCTGATCTTAGGTGATCTGCCCACCTCAGCCTCCCAAAGTGCTGGGATTATAGGTGTGAGCCACTGCACCCAGCCCTTTCCATGGTGTTAATGTTTGTCTAACAGATTAGAACATGAGATTACTCTATACCTAGTGCTTCGTCACACTGTCATTCTGATTATTTTCCCTATAGCTAGAAAAACATATTTATACTCTCCATGTTATCATTATAAAACTTGCCGTGCATATGATGAGGAACCTCATTATGTGGCTTAATAATGGTAGTTTCTTTCTTCTGAAGTGCTGTGATTAAAGAAAATTTGTTTGCCACTTTAGAGGGTTAGAATTACAGAGTTTGCACTTCAGAAGCTGACAATGTACTCTGAGGTATTATGTCTTTATTTAGGTAAAAGATCTTAGAAAAGATTTTTTTTTGGTTAATTATGAATCATGGATTACCTGATTGGGTATTTCCAAAAATAGAGATCTAAGAAAAAGCCAAAACAATATTTAATTAAGTTATATCTTTATTTTTAGTTATGTAGTTACTTATTCATTAGAATAATAAGCATACATGTTTAGTAAGATTAGATTATTAGTACTGCCACACATGTTTAAAAGAAAACTACAATATAGGATACTATTTACAGCAATATGCTTCGGTATCCACAAATACCGATTTTAGTTATGGTTTGCCCTTTCCAGGGTGACGCATGTTCACTTTCTTTATTTACAGTAAAAAACATCTCCGGTGTACTCATTGAATGGTAGTTTCAAAAACGCATATGATTCATTTAACTTTTTGACTAATAACTTTTAAAACTTTCCCCTTCCTTCCATATCATCTGACATTGCCTTAATTTAATTTTCTATAATTATTTATGCACAATTATTGTAACTGTCTTTAATACATACAAGTAAAATTTTGAAATGAATATAGTGATTATATCTCACATTTAAATTTTCTTCTTTAACAAGTCCAATAAAATGATCAAAGCCTAGATCATATTAACTTCTTAAAGGCTTTAAGTCCAATAATATTAATAACGATTCTCATTTCTTATTGAGTGGTCCCCCAGTGGTCATGTCAACATGTGAACACAAACACACAAAACATAAAACAACCCTTTCCAACATATATCACATTGCTTCCCCTAAGAAAACCCTAGAAACCTATGTAAATCTTGACAGACAGAAAAGAGTGACTTCAACAGACAAAATCTAAATGGTTTCCTGAAGACACAGTGCAGAAAAAAATAAAATTCAAAAAAATTCAATAGAGGCCAAGGAAGGGCCTATTTAGAAGACAATTTGAAGTAATCTTTTCAGTAAGTGTTGGAAATTCCATATTGAGAACAACTTGAATGGCTAGAGATGGGGAGGTTGAAATTTATGAATATCTGAAATATTTCTAGCACATTAGGTGATAAGTTGCTCACCTAAGTATTTGTTCTCCAGTCTTCACCTGGTGGATCTCATGCTCTATGAAGCAGGGCTAGCCTAACTTTAAAAGTTCTAGTTTAAGTTCCCATAGCCATCTTTACTTGATCTGTGCTTGAAAATAAAGTTATGGCATTTAAAAAGTCTTTTAAAATAAAAACTGAAGGAAAAAAATAAAAACAAAGGAAAAAATGCACAATGGTGATTCTTCATAATATAATTTCACTATATTCTTTTTTCTGTATGAATTAGAGCTCTAATCTAACAAGGAAACCATTAAAATTAAAAGCAGTTAAGAGAGGGGAGATGACCTTTCAATCCTACATAGCATTTTAACCTGTTTCCTTCCTAATCATTTTAACATGGTTCATATTAATCATAAATAAAGAAAATGAAAACTTACACCAAAATAGCTGTACTTGACTAAAGGTTGCACTTCATAGCTTCACGATGGTGTCCTCGGGAAACGTATTATTTTTCTCATGGGAATTTGAACCTGCTATATTAGCATTACTAGGTTTCTGGCAACATGAGTTGTGGAAGAGGATGGACCAGGGGTTCTGGAGAATCCATAGAGAGACAATAGAGTACAGCTTTTACCCCAGTGGGCACTTTTAGGAACTGTACTCACAAGTACTTGCATTTTGCTTGTTTTGAGGGTATGTCCCCTAAACCCCTTCCCAAATGCTTTGTATACGTATGTGTGTGTCTATGTGTGTATCCAGCATGTGTCATTTGGAGGTGTGTGTGTGTGTGTGTGTGTGTGTGTGTGTGTATGAAAACTACATTGAAGAGTGCATTTTCAGGTACGTGATGCACCTTTGGACACAGGGTAATGTAATTTTTAAAATGAATATCTTGTGTTAATAATACCAAATCTTTAGCCATTAATCACTCTAAACAAGAGTCGCAAAATAATTTTAAATATGTAATGAAAGCATAGAGAACTTTTAATACATGAAATATGTTAGTTTGTGATGGCAAAGTTGGTGATAAAAAGTTACAAAATATAAAAATGCAATGGAAGAAGAAGAAAGTGGAATATTCCAGAAAACTAAACTAGAGATTTAGAATTTTGACTTCAGAAAGCGTCATAAAACTCAAAAAATAATAAAGTGCCCTATCAAGATTGATGACAAGAAAACGAAATCCTAGAAATGTAATATTAATGAAATAGATATTCCAGAAAGAGAAAGCATAGCAGACTGAGAAGAAAATTAAGTTGCTACAACAGCTAGCAATAGAAAAATTGCCTTAAAACTAAATCAGACAACTATTTATGCTTCAAACCAAAATAAAATAGCTTGTAGTAGACCTGATTTTTCACCGAAAATAATAAGGAAGCTGAATAAAACAAGATTAAAAACTGGTTGGAGGAATTTGACAGATAGCAACACTATAGGCACTTAATCCTCTAGACACTGGGGATTACAATTCAAGATAAGATTTTGGGTGGGGACACAACCAAACCATATCATTCTTGCTTTAGGTAGCTCCTTCCCTTTCAGTGCTAAACCCATATCAGAGAGCCACTGGTTCAGAGAAGAACATGTAAAGCTTACCTGAACCCAACCTGCTTGAAGCCTGGTCGCAGAGACTAGAGCCTGAAGTCTAGCCTATCTTATTGTTGCCTCTGACTTACAGATTTACTAGCACAAAGCTAAATAATTGTTGTAGCGCAAAGCTAAATAATTGTTGATTTAGTACCCATGTGTAAAACACTTCATAAGTTACTGTACTCGGTTGTGTGTGTACTTCCTTTGACAATGTACCATTCTGAAATTGCATAAATTTAATATATAGTACTTATCTGACTATTATCTATTGAGTTGTATATACTTAGAATTGTATTGTTAGTTAATTTTTAAAACATTTCTATCACTTTCAGAAAGATTTTCTGTGTCAAATATGTTATTTAACCACACACTCTGCTCATTTATATGCTAAAGAGTTTTTATCCATTAAAGAGATTTTAGGTTATTTATAAATAGAACAGATGCTGAAGATTTGAAACTGAGTGCTGGGTGGTGAAGAGGTACAAGGGAGTCAATCTTTGAAAGTTGCATTCTCCTTTTTATAATATTTTCTTCATCATTTCTGTGGCTCGTAATCATCTTTATCTGTGCTTGAAAATAAAGTTATGGCATTTAAAAAGTCTTATAAAATAAAAACTAAATCCAAAAGCTCCTCATATCATGTAGAAATAAGAAATATGTACAACAGATGGAAGAATTACAGAACATTTTATGTTCTATAACTAGAAACGGCTGCGTTAGGTAAGTTGGTCAGTGTATCTTTGTCTGAAATCATAATACCACTTCTTAGTACACATTTATTTAGTTTGTTTTGGGTGGAAAATTTATTGTCCTCTTATGAAAAAAATATGACCTCTTTAAAGAAGTGAGAAAACAGAGAAAACTTAGAAGAAAATTGGTGAATGATATAGACAAACAATTTAAAGGAGGATAAACTCTAAAGTCTAGTAATTACATAATTACATGAAGAGATGCTTAAAAATCTTTATTAAGGCCAAGTGTTAGAGCAGATGGAGACAAAGAAATACATGCACAGCTGATAAGAAAGTAAACTGGTGTAGCCATTTTGGAGAAAAATCTGGTAGAAATGAAGTTTAAGTATATCCTCTGTTTTAGTAATCCTGCTCCTAGGAATATTTCTCAAAGACATTTTTACATGTTTGTAAGTTGACATACATGAAGATGGTGTTTAGAACGTTAGGTAGTTGGAGACAATCTGGAGCTTCTTATGGGGACAACAGGTACTTAACCTACATCAAATGAATAGTTCAGAGAATCATGCAAGTGCTAAATATTATGAGCTATCGAATGTGAAGAAACAAAAATAATTCCTTAAAGAATATTAAAAGGTAAAAATAAGCAATACAATGAAATCAACACAGTTTACATAAATAAAAAGTACATATGTATGAAATAAAAGTACATGTTTTACAAAAATACATAGAGAAAATATTTGTCAAATTAATAGTGTATAGAGAAAAGGAGGATAAGTAAAATTCAAGGGAAATACATAAAAATAAATTTCAATATAGATTTAGATGTAAGCATGTGTTTTACAAAAAAACCCGTGAAATTAATGTTTTGATATTTGCTCTCTGAGTTGACAATATGTTTGTCTTTCCAAGATTTGTTTATGACTTTATTATTATAGTCACAGCATACAGATCTATAATTTTCTGTATAAAATAGCTGAAGCGTAATATTCTGTGTTATATCTGCATGAACCTTATGTTATTTATTTCATTCCTATTGATGGAAATTTAGATTGTTTCCAAACACTTC